TAACATAACAAAGACCAGAGACTAAGTTCCAAACCGAAAATGTAATGAGTGATCTCTAATTCAAGTGAAAAATTATTCTTTTACTTAGAATAAAAGATGAAGTATCATATGTCAGCCAAGTTACTTTGCTCCAAAATTTATACATGTGTATTGTAGTACTGAATTTCTGCAAAAATGAAATATCATTTTTATCTCATAAAATTACATAGATGTTAAAGTTCACGTGCATGTGCGCACACACACATTGCTGCTGCTGCTGCTGCATATCTTTTAAAGAATCAGAATTGGCATCAATGTCATCTAGCTTTAAAAAAATGAGTTTCAAAACACCTATTCTATTTGGATTTCTGTCCCTAGTTTATTGAATGATAATGAAACAATTATGCCATGATTCCTGCTATATCAAAGCCATTATACCCTTTTGTCTCATTATTATTTAAATGTTAAATACCCCATTATAGAGGTAAATTGGGTTTAAAATAGAATGTTTCAAGCAGAAGAGCAAAAAATATAAGGTTAAACAGAGTGAGAAAGCAAGCTTCAATTTGTGGTATAAAACTTGCCTGGCATGAATTGATCTTTTGATATACTAAGAAAGGCAGAACCTCTGACATGCCCTATAGAGAATAAATATACTGATCTGGAACAAAAATTATGTGAAACAGCTGCTAAGTGACAGAAGAAATGTGCATTGGACCACCAGCCTGTCATAAATATTGCACTCTTAATCAGAAAGCATCTGTCTTTTCATTTCCTTTTCAGCAATCTCTGCATTGTATTTAATCTGCACAGAATGCTTTTCCTAACAGGTGCAACAGTGTTTACAAATTTAAAACCGTATTTAAATGAAGCTTACAACCAGAGATGTTTCAATTAACAGGGCAATATCTTATGAGAAGGAATCAAATTAACATCTGGAAAATACATAGGTTACTTTGCATTTGTGAAATTTAGTTATTAGAAAATGAGACTATAAGTACCCCCCAAAAGGCAACAATGAGTGCCACTTTAAGTAATCTGGGGCATGTATTTGTATCCAGAGAAACCACAGGGAAAAGTTACAGCTAGGAATGTGGATAGCATAAAATATTGGGACAGATATCATAAAATGTCGACTTCCATTAAAAAATAAAACTAATAATGTCCCACGTGTCCATAAAATGTGGTCTCTAAGCACCAGTTTAGCTTCTCACAGTTCAGTTTTTTCCCCGTTATCAGAGTTTACTTGTTGAAACTGAATATACAATAATTCCCCTATCCATAGTTTTTCTTTCATCTCATGGCTTAAATTATCTACAATCCACCACAGTATAGAAATATTTGACCCAAAATTCCAGGAAAAAAAAAAACGATTTATCAGTTTTTAATTGTGTGCGGTTCTCAGTAACATGATAAAATCCCACACTGTCCTGCTGCTCAATCCTGCCTAGAAAGGAAAATATCCTTTTTTCAAGAATGTCTATACTATATACATTTGTCCCCCAATAGCCATCTCAGTTACCAAGTTCACTGTCACAGTGTCTAAGTGTAAGTATTCAAGTAACCCTTATTTTACTTAATAATTGTCCCAAAATACAAGAGAAGTGATGGTGGCAATTATATTACTGTATATTATTGTGATTATTCAATTACATTATTAATCATTGTTGCTAAATCTATACCTAATTTATTCACCTATTAAGTGAATCATAGGTGTGTATGTGTAGGAAAAAACAGTATATGAAGATTTTAGTACACTATGCCATTTCAGGTATCCACTGGGATCTTGGAATTTCTTCCCCACAGATCACTGTAATAGATCTATAATTCATTTAGAATACGTAATTTTAAATTTTGGTGGTAAGAGATACTACTAGAGATTGAACCTAGGGGTACTCTACCACTGAGCTACATCCCGAGTCCCTTTGTGTGTGTGTGTTTTGTTTTTTGATACAGTGTCTTGCTATATTACTAAGAGTCTCACTTAGTTGCTGGGGCTCACCTAGAAGTTGTGATCCATCTTCCTCAGCCTTCCAAGATATTGGTATTACTGGTGTGTACCTCTGCACTGAGATGAATACACACAATTTTTAAAGTAAAAAGAATTGTAGAAATGTTTTTATAACTTTTACTCAAAATTAGTGCATCACCAATGAGTTCCATTTTTACAGGGTTCAATCAGGTAATGTAAGTGGCACAAATCTTGTAAAATATGTGGCCCTGTTGGTTGGTCATTGAATTCCCAAKTTTTGATACAAACAGGTATTGAGGAAAATATTCTTTTTAACTACACTCTTGGACAAACAGCATGGCAGATTCTTTGATAAAGAACAGGGCAAGCTGGTGAGAAATGCTCTGTCAGTTGATTCTTTMCATGGAGAAATGAAACCCAAGTTTTCCAGATATCTGATTCCCAGTGAAGACCAGGGCAAACAATATGTTGGTGTACTGAATCCTACATTGAGCTTCTAACTTGGAACATTTAGAGCAATTGCTGAAAACAGGAATTCAGTGTTAAACAGATTTGAAGTCAGCTTCTATTTTGGTCTAGTATCTTTATAACTCTGAATAAGCTACTTGACTTTAAATTTCACATCATCCACTGCATAAAAGGAGTTAATAATAATCACTGAGTTGCAGAGAGCTCACAAATATTAAGTGAGAATGTAAGTATAAAATATTCAGCATAGCAAGTGTTCAATTAAGTGKTAGACATTATTTTTTTGTCTAATTTTGCTTTTCATTAGATACAGATAGAGAAGTAGAGATCCAGAGTTGTAGGTAACTTGYTAAATGATGCAGAGATTTGAAAATCAGAGTTCCTGATTCCCAATCTACCAAACTATCTCGTTAAAGATTATACATAAAAACTATATTTTAAAATGCAAGCAAATTCATAACAGGACTCTAAATTCCTTGCCTGCTTTACTAATTGACAAAGCATAACTATTTTTTGCATCATAGATAARGCCTTTCAATACTTATAATTCCTCTTAATGGCTGTATACAAATATTTATTATAGGTTAACAAAGAAAGTAAAGGTTAATATCTGTTCTTCAGGGGGTTCACACAAAATTATCTCATCATAAGCAATCATATTTGAAAGGGACAAATCCATTAAATAATACTCCCACTAAAGCAATATAAGCAAGGTCATTTGTTATACTGCATAGGGAATTCTATTTTAATTACTTTTTCAGAAACAATAATATAATATAAAATGATYTTGATGATGAGAGCTAGACATTCTGGGTATAATTTGAAAAACAGATTAACTCCTTCAGACTGTTAGAACTTTACTGATTCCAAATCTCCCTATTAGCAAGGCAGAACCCTGAGATGATCCTCATCAAATCCTGCCTTTTCAGCCTGAGAAGTTTTTTTTTTTCCTTAACAATGGAAAGCTCCTCCCTTGCACTGATGTGTTTTTAATCTAAAAAGTTTAGAAATTCTTTTAATTCAACTATTATGTTGAATCTACAATCACACAATAATTGTGATGATAGCTAAGGTTGATGGGACCTTAATGACAACTCAATGTTAACTAAAACCTTTACATCCAACATCTCATTTCATGGTTACTATATCTCTATAAAGTAGAKTCCATAAAAATTCCAAAGTATCTAATTTACAAAAACAATTCTGGAAGATTCTCAGTAACTTGTCTGCTAAGTCCAAGAGTCAGGACACTACAAAGATCTTACTAGAGGAACCACTTCTAAATTATTGACCTAAAACCCAAACAAAATGAATCAGACACATTGAAAAAAGTAATTATTCAWCTTGCTAATATGTAAGGAGCTGGATGAGCTGTGATGCAGGGAATAAAGATAGCAAGATAAAAAAATAAATTAAGATAGCAAGTAAAAATTTAAAAATGGGTAAATTTATTAATACATTGACTTCTTTTTAATGCATATATTTGTTTGCATGAAAGAAACCTGTGCCAATGTATCTCATCTTTAAACAATGGCATATGAAAGTCCTAATTTAAAAAAAATATATGAATCATAATAATTACTTTTTATTACCCAGKAATTCAGTTTTTCACAATAGGATTCACCCAGGATTTGTCCCTTAACAGATTTAAGTTGTTGTTCTTGATCATTAGTTATTTACAGGGAAACTCAAGAAAAGTAGGATGATTGCAGAGACATAAGAATAGATCTTGCTAATAACTGTTAGAAATAAGATTTTTGCACAACTGAAGTTGAGCCTATATAAATATAATTTAAACATTCTTTTTCAGAAATATTTATATCTGAAAATAAAATAGACTTTATTTCCTAGTCATTGTTTGTTAATGTAATAATAACCTGAAACAGGCCACTCAAGAAGCTTTCAAAGAATTCCCACTAATGCATTTAAAAAATGTAAATTAAAGTTAAAATCCCAAAAGATCCACATTTAAACAACAACCAAAAAAAAAAAAAAAAAAAAACCACAGTTTAGTGTAACATTATTCTGAAAAAGCTTAAAAGGATTGAGTTCAACCAGATAGATCAGCACAGACTTAATTAATGTGAATCTTGCTTTTCTGATATTCTTTGGGAAAAAGCCTTCCTTTTTCATAAAAAAAGTAGTATCTTTTTAGGCAGGCAAGTTATCGACAAACTTTGGGTAGCTAATCCACAAGACTCACATTAACACAGAGCACATGAAATGCATTTTCCCTTGGGCAAGGAGAGGAGAATCTATTGCTTATGTCATCTGTTTCTGTGAATACCGAAGATTACAATTATGTTTTGATGTTAATCCAACTACTGCAAATTTCTTGTTGTGAAGCACACTGTGAAAATGTGASTGACAGTATAAATCTTTTTAAATTGAATTCAACACTATTGAAAAGAGCTGATGTTTTCAAATACTATTACAAAGCCTCAGAACAACAAGAATAACACTCTAAATGAAGCCAGTTTCTATAGTGACCTATTTGGTATGAAAGACGAATAGCTATGATAAAATCAAATTCTGCACATCTGTTATATTGTGTGTGTTTTGCATTTTTAGGAACAATCACCTCTAATGCTTTGATGTCCTCATAAGCAAACTGCACGGTGGGAACTCCAAGATGGTTGATGAAATAATCGGCATCACCTTGTATCTGTACAGAGCTGACATTGGTTTCTGGACACTGAGCTCTTCTGGTACAGTTGAACTTATTTTTCTGAAAAACATAATTTAAATTGTTAACACTTACTGTGCTTCCAAGGTCATCTTTAAGTCAGTGCTACTAAAAATGTGGTCCATGTGTTAATATCGTCAATGTTAATCAGGAGTATGTTCAACATGCAAATGCTTAAGCTCCACCTCCTACCTAATAGGGTTGGAATGGGAATCTGTGTTGAAATAACTTCCTATGATTCGGATGCTCACTGAAGCATGACTGGCATTGTCTGGTATCAAGATTTGCTTGTTGATGTTGCTTCCAAAGTATTTTTTGTTACAGTTTTATTATGGCTGCAATGACTTCAACTTGAAAATTTTGAAAAGGATGCTATCCTTCTTAAAATGTTTACCAAAAAAATACAGAAGAAATTTTCTCCATGGCTTCTTAAAAATGTTTTCTCAGATGTTTTTAGATTATCTGTCAATAACTACAATCAGTCATAGAGAACCAGCCACAGAGCTAAGCAAAACTCTGAGGGAAATAAAAGATGATAGGCTATTATTTCTCAAAGTTAGAATTGTCTATCTTGTACTACAAGTGATAGAAACTTTAAAAACAAAATTTTAAAAATTAAAAAGAAATGAAGAGTTTTTGTAAGAAGTACTGATTAAAAATGTCGGCTTTAATTAAGTTTCCAAAGATGTAGAATCTTTCTGAGATTAGTTGTCTCAAAGATGCAATGTGGAAGAATAGCAATCTCCTGGGAAGCTACTGTTGAGGAAAGTTTGCCAATAAGAATAAGAACATCTCACATTTAATACCAGGCATAACGTATGTGCTCATTACATTTGCCATTAAATCAAGATATTGACTCTTCAACCTCTTGTGCTTCTTTGATATAATATAATTTCAAAAATACTTTCAAATATAACATATCAAAAAACTTAAAAACATGCAGTTTAACCTTAAGAAAATGAGTTATTCCAACTTTTTTTTTTTCAATTCTTGTGCTGGGTATTTTAAACATATAATGGTTCAATACTTATTCAGTTTTCTTTAAGGCCATGATTGAAAGATCTTTGCAACAAAGGTAAAATCAATTAAAATAGTAAGGCAGCATGAGTGTTTGTATACATGCAAGGTTTTAGCTTAATGTTATTTCCAAACATATAGGGTAATTAAGCAGTTTGGAAATACAATGTTTTTCCATACATTCTGATGTAGCAGCTTAATGCTTTTTATGATGGATGACTCCACTAATTGTTTCTGTTTCAGAGCCTAGTTTTCTGAAATTGTAGTGTATCAGTCAGCTTTTCATTGCTATGACCAAAATACCAGACAAGAAAACATTAGAAGAATAAAAGTTTATTCTGGATTGATGATTTCAGAGGTTCAGTCCATAGTCTGAGGACTCCATTGTTATGGGCCTGAGATGAAGAAGAACATCACGGTGGGAAGGCCTAGTGGAGGAGAGATGCTGATATCATGGCAGCCAGGATTCAGAAAGCAAGTAAGGAGCCAGGGGCAAAATATACCTCCCAAGGGCACCCCCTGCCCTGTGACTACTTCCTCTAACCATGCCCCACCTGCCATAGCTACCACCCAGTAATCCATTCAAGTCATTAATCCATTACATAGATTAATCAACTGATTAGGTTGCAGCTCCCCTAATCTAATGATTTCACCTCTGAACATTCTGAACCTTTCAGCATTAAGTTTTTCAAGGGGACATCTCCTATTCAAACCATAACAGAAAGTTAATATACTTTAACTCCTTGATTTATTCTGGATAGTTTTAGACTCCTGGAGATTTATAACAACCAGGACAGTTTAAGAAGGATCTTGAATATGCTCAAAGAAGATACACTCTTAAGTATTAGATCATGAAATGCAAATAAATTACTTAATATCATATAAAAAATCCTAAATATTATTTAGAGATCTAGGTGTTGAAAAACATCACCTTCTGAAGGTATTCATTTAGCAAGAATAAATTCTTTTTCCCATAGTTGCATTTGAAAATCTTGGGCAGGCAAGATATTCACCAGTGCCCAATCACCAGTCTTATTTTCACCTTGCTCCACTAATTTGAATATACTGAAAGGTGGTCAGGGACATCTGAATTTGTGAAAAATAAAGTGTTGAACAATTTTATGTCATGATTAAAATTTTTTAGAATCTGCCATTTACTTTTGCTAAATGCCTACCCAATGAAATTAAAAATTATTATTTAAGTAGTTTACATTCTCTCTACCGTAAGGACATCTATGTCTTTTTAAGATAGTATATGCACTGTACTCAATATCAATTAAAATAAAAATTTGGCTTTTATTTCATTTTGCATACACAACTCTCAAGATCCAATTCAACTCTTAGCTGCATTCATTCCTTACATAGAATTTTTTATTTCTTAACAGAAGAGTGACACAAACTAAAAATTGATAATTTTGAGTTCTAATATTTGTGTCTACTAAATTATTAATTAAAAAAACAAATATGATATTTAAGTAAAATGTTCTCCATTATTTTTACTCAATCATCAATGTTTTATGTTAGTTGACCTCAAAAAAAAAAAAAAAAACAGTGTTAGCCTCTCATATAAGCAAGTTCCTGAATTATACAAATGAACCCATTCCAATCCATCTTTGTTTGTTCTAACAACTAGATTGATACAGTTCTGGTTTATCTTCAGTGTTGTTTTAGCCCAGGACATTCTTTTTGGAGACATTACTGATCCTCTTCTAGTCTTTTTGTTTTTGCCCTGGCTACTTACATTGTATAACTTTCATATTTCCATCATATTCCATTTCCATGGTTTCTTCCAGTTACAGCCTTATTTGCACTTTGTATTTTTCAGGCACATCAAGAAGGCCATCTCAAACTTTCAGGATTACCTCCATGAATTCTGTCCCTGCATTCTCTTCCACACTCTGGTTTGCTCTGTTTTACCCATCTTTTGAAACTTCTGTCTCGTCACCTTTGTCATATATATAAACTCCTAATGAAGATGTTGACAGAGACAGTGTCATCTTTTGTCAAAATTCTATGTTGAAGTTTAAGATCTGCCAAACTACATGTTTGGTGCTAAATATGGAATATTTATGGGGGGCTATAGTACAATGGAAGAGGGTTGGGTTGCCCAAGGGATAGCTGGGGCCTAGAGCTTGGAGCCCTTGATTATCAAGCCTCCTGTCAAAATCCAACTGAGAGTAAAATCTTTAAGACTGGGGACTTCAGGAACAACATGGTTTTCTAAATTGTGTCTCTAGGGTCTACTGCTGATTTGATAAACACAGGGTTTCCCTGAAGTTCCTGAAGAGAACTTTTCTCACCAACTCACAACATTTTTCCTCTTTCTTTCTCAATTCCTGTCCCTTTCTCTCCCCTTCTTTCTTTTCTCTTTATCTCACTTCTTTCTTTTCTCTCTCTCTCTCTCTCTCTCTCTCTCTCTCTCTCTCTCTCTCTCTCTTCACCTCTTTCTCTACTTCCTACTTTCCTGGTTAATCCAGTATGAGGGAATAAAGCATGTGCTATGGATCTAGAATGTCCCTTAAAGTTTCACGTACTGAAGATTTACTCCCTGGCAGGAGGCACTATTGAGAGGTGGTTGAAACTTTAGGAGATGGAGCCCAGTTAGAGGAAGCAGCTCACTGGGGGAATGCTTTGGAAGGGTGTATCTTGTCCCTGGACCTCTCTTTCTCTCCCTGTATCTTTTTCTGTCTCTGCTTCCCAGACACCATGAGGTAAGCAGCTCTTTTCTGCCACATGCTCCCCACAATGATGATCTGCCTCATCACAGACCCATAGTTTTGAGGCCAAGTGAACATGGACTAAAACCCCTGAAACCATGAGCCAGAGCAAATCTTTCCTCAGCAATTTTGTCACAATGATGGACTAACACAGTATTACCCTGAAACCTGTATTCATTTTGTTTTTATATTCTTGTTCCTAACTTCAGAGAAAACTAGATTAAAAAGTATTTAAATTTGCAAGGTAGAAGCCCACCCAAAGTTATTTTATGTAGGGATATCCTATTAGAGAACATTCCTGTTCTCTTAAGGTTCTAAATACTCATTGTTCATTATTTTAGATACTCATTGTTCATTATTTTATTCTATAAATATTCTCTAAATACTCATTATTCATTACTTTAAAATTTGTGCCAGATTCACAGATCCGAGGTGATCCTATGTCTATATTTGACTCTAATATGAATCATCTTTGCACACAGAACTTCAGTGGATTATGATTAATCATACCAAATAATGGACGCTGATCTCCTCAACCCCCATACGCACTAATATCTGTGAGGGAAGTAGAAAGAAATCCTAATTTTCTTCATATTACTAGAAGATAAGCACTGTGGGAGAGGGAAGGTTTGTAACAAATTTGTGCAGGTCAATTAACTTTTTAAATTTATTTACAAGGCTGAGTAAATTCATATTAAGTATTTCATCTAAGGAGTTCAAACTGCTCCATATTTAACATTTGATAACAAGCATTTTTATTCCAGTTCATAAAATAAGCAAGTTCAGGCAAAGACCAGGGTTGTCACTTGTTTAATTTCCCACCACAAGTCTGTTAAAGACCTGAAATGAAATCACCATCTTGATGCTAAGGCTGCATGCTCTTTGCAAGCATACTTTTAATCTGCAAGGCAAAAACCTCATAGTAAATGATCATAAAAAAACAAAATAAAGAAATTAAATCAACATTTACATTAGTTGGATAGTGATGTCAAGACACAATGACAAGTTTCTAAAGTATTTAATAATCTGTTTAATAATTTAAATGTCTCATTTCTCCCACAATCTGCTTTTCCCTGCAAACATAAACATTCATTCCACAGGCATAGGAAATCTAAGTTGATTACTTATTCAAACAGCAAAAAAAAGTATAACATTCAAAATAAAACAACTACACTCCACACATTAGAGTAAAATTAAATCACTTTCTTTTCTTTTCAGTATTATTCTTATGACTTCAATTGTCTAGAAAAGAACTTATTTCACTGGTTTTCCCATTTTTTATAATAATGTTCCAGCTGTGATCATGAT